TCCCCACTCCTTATCGATCCAGCTGGACAGAATTAGAACAGGTCTGGAACGATTTGCCAACTGTTTCTCCGTTCCTTATCGGACCGGCATTCCCACTCCTTATCGAACCGGAGGTATCGATAATTCTCAGTCGTTGGAACAGTTCCGTTCCACAGTGAGATTAAGTCCCCGTTCCCGATCCAGTTCCATTGACCCATCCCTAGACTCAAGGAACTTCACAACAAGTATTTCTGTTGCAAATTGAAATTTGAAAATTTTCACGATCGCAGTACTTTTCTTTACTATATATTTTATATATAGGTAAGTGCAAGTTAAAAAAAAATAATACTATAGACTTACAATAACTTTATGAATGCGCGATGTGGACATACTTCTCTTTAGTTACAGCCTTTAAATACAGTTAGTTACAGGGATTAAATACTGTTTTAAATAATAATTAAATTATTTGCATTGATTAAAATATCATTTATATATTTGGTCAACTTTTGGGTGCCATGTTGAAATTTAATTACAATAAATCTGTAGAGATTGTATTGTTTCTTTCACTTACTCATACATGAAATGTGTAGTAAGAGAAAGAATTGCAGTTGTAAGAATATTCGATCCTGAGTTTTCAACTATAATACACGTTTTGAGAGTCCAAATAACACAGTCCCACACAAACGTGTTCACACGTTTAACTCAAAAACGAATAGTCATACGAAACTGAAAATATATATTTAAGTTAAATATAGACCTGGGATGTTACAGTAACTATTTTGTAAAAATCCGATGACCGAAGTGGCTTTATAGCAACGATAACATATTTTTGCAATTATATAATGTGACCTATCAGATTTTTGGGGACTGCAATAATATCAAAATGTAGAGCTAACTTTGAAGGGGAAGAAGATCTATTTATATCAAAATATCTATTTTCGGACTTGTTTAGTTTTTGCAATGAACCCTTCAATTTCATATCTGATATTATATTTAAATAATTAGGTATCACTTTTAGAATTTTTTTTTTTAATTGGGAATACCTTCTTTATTGAATATTAATACATTCTGCCACATTAAAGGGCATTATTATTAAGGCTACATGATTCATCCACACAATATGTACAAAATAAAATACAATTAATATTTCAATAATAAAGAAAAATAAATATAAAAAAATAAAATAAGTTGATATGCCTTAGCTAAATAAAAATGAAATAATAGATAAAAGATAAATGAAATTAAAGTAAATAAAACACATTCACACCTATATACTATATTTACATTCACCCAGGGGACTCTGAGTCATGCCTTATCCCCCTATGTGGAAGCCAATGCAGGACTCCAGGGGATCCCAATGCTTCTCTCTCAGCCGCGTCACTGTTCTTTGAAACCAGTGGAAACTGATGGAGGGCACTACATCAACAGACACTTTAGAAAATTAAAATTAGTGAATTATTTGATGAATTTTCCCTTTGTGAAATCACAACAATACCCACTTGTAATTAATTTGGCAAGTTTTAAGCTATAACCTAATAAAAATCTCGAAACACCATTTATTAAACTTTACAATCGAAAAATAAAAGTTTAATAACTTATAGTAGTGCAATCCATAATAATTTATTTATTGTATTTATTGGATTTTTTCGCTTGTGTTTATGTTAGGAAATTTTTGTAAAGATTATCTTGTTACAGCTGCATAAGTTATTTTTGATTCCTATTGTGAGTGCGTGTAAACAAATTATTTTGTTTAAACATGTGTGTAGTAGGTAACTTTGTTTTTTTTCAGAAAAAGGAATACATTCTTCTGATTGTTAATAGGAATAAATTATCTGGTTGTAGGACCTGTCGTTGTCCCAGCAGGTGACAAGAAATTTTTGATGGATCCAAGCTGGGACAATCTTCTAAGATATGTTGTATACTATATCCATACTGTAGCTACGACATCTTGATGGTGAACTACGGCCGGGCAGATGCCCAGTTTTTAGTTTGCTCCCGAAGGTTTTCCTGGATCGACGGGAGCAGTTAAGTATCATTAAAAATGTTTTTCATTTTGTTAGTACCTTAGAACCTTAGACCAACAATAGCGCCAGGATACTTTACAACAGTTCAGTAAAGCGTTGTTGAAACCGTACAGGATTATGTTAGTGTCAGGTGCAGGAAGTATGGTGGATGCTTCTTTTGTATCTTCATCAGCCAGTTGATTGCCTGGTATTCCTGTATGATGGGAACCATTTTGTTTGTTCGTTGAATGGTTTGTTTAATATTGAATACAATGAGGTTGTTGCATAATTTATTGTTATTGCGTTGATTTAATTTTCTTTTTTCTTTTGCTTATCAGTAATAAATTCAACTGTGAGGTTTGCATGGTAATACAAACATATTGGATTGTATATACATCATACGATGACCCCTGAGCGAGGTCGTTAGTTTAGAAATATCAGCAATCCATCATCACTTTCTCTTATCGTTTAAATGTAAGACTAATGTATGATTGATTAATGTAGGACTTAGTTACTTACTATTACTGGACGAGCACAGACATCCATGCCTTACCCCGGATTCGAACCGGGAACCTTGGGAAATGGTTTAAACACATTAAAAACACACCATTACCTAAATTAATTTTTTTTTCCGAAGTGAATTTTGGCAAATTAAACAAAAAAAAAAAAAAAAAAAAATACAACTACAAATTACCACACAATCGTATATTATTTTTAAACAGTTATATATCATATCGCTCGCTGTACTCTGTTCACTGTTATTGCAAATTTTAAAAATACAGTTTAAAATCCAATCTTTTCTTCGACCTTACTTTGGAAAAGTATGAAATAAAATTTTCTTTCCCATCTTCTTAGTGTCAATTAGATTATTGTTGCAAGATGCAACTGCGCATCTTGTACCTGGCATTCTATGTGGTTCTATTAATAATTATATTATTATGAGAAATACATGAAATACAAGTAGGAACAAACGAATTCTCTGTAACATGTTATTAAAAATAAAAAAAAATAAGCACTCGTTATAATATTATTTTAGATAAGTAGTTGACTGTTTTTTTAATAAAATTTGTTTACTTAAAGAAATATTGAATGCAAATGCTGACAAAAATCTTCAACCTTGTAATTGTGCTAAAATGTTCATATCCAAACATTGTGCTAAAATGTTCTCTAAATAAATATAAATCCTAGTTTTTTTCTATTTATGTAATATATTTGTATATTATTTACAGAGATTTTGAAATAAAGAACTTAAAAATAATCTTAATATCAATTACGTTCTTTTCGTTTCAGGTCTGGCCTGTAATTTTCATAGCATTTTATACTAGATTAATAGTCGTATTTATTTATTTATCTACTTGAATTCATCTTCAATCAAATGTCAAAAACACAGAAAAGTATTCTTCTCAATAAATTAAACAAGAAAAAAAAAAAAGCACAATAGTGTGTGGCTTATAAATTTCAACCTACGAAAATCTTCATTATTCATTGGGTGTAGAGATCTGCAAAACATACTATTCCGATATTTATTTATTTTTGAAAATAATTTATGTTTCATGGTAAACACTCTTATTTTGGTTGTCCAGTTTTTGTGAATAAACTATTGTTCTTGATATAATTATTACATTAAAACGATTAACGTTTTACAAATGACCATTAGTCACTTCCTTAAATTTAATTTAATCAATAAAAAATCTTATTAACAAGATTTTATTTCCTGTGTACTATAACATTTTGGCTTTAATATTCTACTCAAGGTAGTATCCTAGGTTCTATCCTTTATACAGTTTATTCAGCTGACATCCCAAACCATTCCAACACTGTTACCTCCGTCTATGTCGATGACAAGTCTATCCTATCAGTCAATAACGATCCATCTATTGCATCCCAAACTCTTCAATCACACATCAGAAGTCTTGAAGAATATGTCAAAACTGGAGGGTTAAAATAAATTCCAATAAATCCCATCAAATTACCTTACTCATCGTCGTAAAACTATGACTTCCTGTCCTACCGTATCCTTTAACAATACCTCACTTATCCCTGTTGACCAAATCCGATACCTAGGACTCCACCTTGACAAACGACTCACTAGGAACCCCCATACCAGACTGAAACGACTAGAAACCGCACGACCTTTCCGACTACTCCAGCACTTACAAGACAAACGCTCTAAACTGCTAACTATTTACAAAAGACTCATATATATTACTATAATAAGGCCTATTTGTACTTACGGGATCGAGCTTTGGGGCTCTACTAAACCATCAAATTTCTCTCGTATCCAATCTCTACAATCCAAAATCCTTCGTAAAATCCTTAATGCTCCCTACTTTGTCACAAATAAAATCATCCATAATGACCTTAATGTACAATATGTTTCCGATTTCGCTCAATCCAGATACCTGTCCTTTCATAATAAACTTCTAAACCATCCGAACCCTCTCGTTTCCAACCTTGCTTCCTCTTTTATTCCTGATAACCCTCCGAGGCGTCTGAAAAGAAGTTGGCCTCGGGACCTTCTAATATAGAAATATAATTGGAGTGCTACCAATGGGTAGTTTCTCTTCATGTTGTACATGGCATGTTACTTATTCATATTTACTTGTTGTATTTATTATTAATTACAGTTGTAAATTTCTTTAATAACAAAAAAAATATTCGAAAATCGATTAAAAAAATAGTATTGTTTATTACTCTACGGTAGTAATAGTAACCTGAAACTTTGTAGAAAAAATTAAGTTCATGCTAAAACGATTTTTTTTTTTTTTTTTTTTTTTGGACGAAATATAATTTGTGGGAGTAATGCAATCTTTTGTAAAACATCAATAGTTTATTGGTCAAATGTAGTAACTTATCTTTGTATAATGATGTATATATTTATCATGTTCAGAAATGATAAAGTTAGAGTAATAATATATTCTAAAATGTATTTTCATTTTCGGCCTTTACGTCGTGCTCAAACCATCTCCCAGGTCGGCGCAGGGTAAGTGCGGTAATTAAGTTAGTTGGATCCCTCACCAGGTGGTAACTTACACCTTGATGACGCTTCTGTCTTCAGGTCTGTGTCTCCGGGTTTACTCTTGGGACCATCGTCAGCGGTGACCAGCAAGCAACAGCTTAGCAACAGGAGGATCTAGAAAAAAAAAATCTCGTTATTATTTTAAAAAGTTTTTAGTGACTCATATTTCATTTTATTTTAGTATTAAGAAAGTAGTAGATTAAAGGAATTCTCCTATTATGCCTATAATTAACACAAATTTACAGCTATTCATTTAATTACATATGCGTTAAGCTCCTGGAACCTCCTATTTCTAATGCAAAATAGAAATTTACACTTTGGTGTCTTCATTACAGTATTGAGTTCTTTTTACCTGCTCTCCTAATATAAAATAAATATTTTAAACCAAACCTCTGTACGGAAAATGGTATTTATCTGGAGGTGGTAGTTTGATGTGATACCTAGGTGACAGCAGTTATTTTTCGATCAAGACATTTTCCTTTTAATATAATATATTAATTGTTATATTATATATAACATTATTTATATTATATTGTGATGTAATTATAATTATTATGAAATAGAAAAGGAAACACAGTTAAAGTATAATGAAAATATTAGAAATAACAGGCTAAAATTATGTTGGGCAAATTTTCAAAACGAATAATTATAATTATATAATAATATAAATTATATATCAAATATATAATTTATAATATATATATATATATATATATATATATATATATATATATATATATATATATATATATATATATATATATATATATATATATATATATATATATATATATCAGACGCGATGTATAATATAGATTTTTAAAGAAATTAAAATATCTATATTATACAGTCCGAACTGTGGTTTTTATTAAGTTTATTTTATGTTGATAAAAAATAATACAATCTGAATTACAAAATGCATTTAAATTACAGTTATGTACCGACTAATCAGCTTACTACCTATCTGTTCCAAAATTTTTGAAAGCTTACTGAACAAAAGACTTGTTGATATACTAACAAACACCCAAATAATACCTGACTATCAATTTGGATTTAGGGCAAATCACTCAACTGTACACCAACTACATAAAGTAACGGACTACATATCTACAGCACTAGAGCAGAAAGTATATGCAACTGGATTATTTCTGGATGTTGCTCAAGCGTTTGACAGAGTTTGGCACCAGGTTCTTTTCTTTAAACTCAAGACAATACTCCCACTTACATATTATCTAACTCTACAATCCTTCCTTTCCGATAGATTTTTCTCGGTCCGACACGGGTCAGAACTATCTTCCATCAGGTCTATCTCAGCAGGAGTACCTCAAGGTTCAGTACTCGCTCCACTACTCATATCACATACACCCATGACATACCTTGCAGTCCTAACATTTTAACAGCGACATATGCAGACGACACAGCAATTTTAGCAAGACACAAAAATCCAACATACGCCTCACAGACCCTACAACAGTATTTAACAAGATTACATGACTGGTTCAAAATTTACCCTTTACCCTCCGACGCAGATCCTGTCCACATATCCTTTTCAGCTCAGTACCTCTTCCCATCTCAGACACAGTTCGGTATCTTGGCTTCCTTTTAGACAAAAGACTAACATGGAACCCACATACCAGACTTAAAAGACAAGAGCTTAACCGACGACTTGGCCAGTTATACAGACTACTTAACAGAAAATCTAACCTCTCAATTGAAAACAAACTATTAATATACAAGACCATACTGAAACCCATCTGGACCTACGGACTTGAACTGTGGGGGACAACTAAATTATCGAACATCAAACGCATCCAATCCTTCCAGTCTAAAATCCTCCGTATAATAGTCAATGCTCCTTATTATGTTACGAAAAAAACCTTACATCATGACCTTAACATCCTTTATGTCCTTGACGTTTTCCATCCCGATTTTCAAATTTTCATCAGAACCTAACCTGTCATCCTAAATGAAGTCCCTTAGAACAATCCTTATCTGGTTCCAGTCATCCCTACAATCCTCCTCGAAGGTTGAAGCGGCAGTGGCCTCGAGATCTTTTGTAAAGACGTCATTGGAGTCCTGGCAATGGCCAGCTTCTCCACTCAAGTCATGAGCGCATGTGGCTTTAGTGCCCTCTCTCAGTCTCCACTGGATTCCCATCCTAGTGATGCGGTTGAGAGAGAAGCGCTGGGATCTCTTGGAGTCTTGCCTTGTCCTTCACACAAAAAGGGGGAAAAGGCCCGACTCGGAGTTCCCTCGGCTGACTGTAAATATTGTAAATAAGTTTGAATGTGTTTTTATTTATTTTTTTTTATTTTAGTTTTTATTTAATGTTATATCAGTTTGATTTATTCTGTTACTCCAAGTTTTATTTTATTTTATTTTCTTATAATCTTGTTGTTATTTTATTGTATATATGGTATGATTGTACTTCATTCATCATAAATACTCAATGCCCTTAATAAAAAAAAAAACTTAGACAGAAATTGAACACATACAATTTCTTACTAAAACCTATATGGACTTACGCAGCACTGATATTTGGAACTGCTAAAAAGACTCACTTAAACAAACTTCAAATCTTTCAAGCAAAAACATTCAGATCAATTACAAAAGCACCTTGGTACGTTAGCAACATAACCATACATACTGATCTCCATATGCCGACTGTTAACGAACACATACGAACTCATTACAAACGATTCCATGACAACTTACAAGGACATCCTAATACACTTATAAATGACATGGCCACTACGAATATACCAGGTAACGTCTGTAAGAGACTGAAGAGGAGCTGGATGAGGGACCTAATGTAGATATCACGCCGAGTGAGGTGCCGCTGGGCACTGATCCTCGTAATGCCTTTCATGACATTATTTTTTTCCAACGACCTCACATTCACTGGTTGTCATTACCACTGTGACAGGTGTGAATAAAAAATATTAAAGCAAAAAAAATTACAGTAATAAAATTTGAGCAACGAGTAGTACCATCAAATGAACAGTTGTATAATGGAGAGGATGTAAAATGGAGGTTGGACAGGGGGCACTCTCCTAGTAAAATTATGAATAAATAAAAACTTGGATTCATTCAAATATCGACAGCCATCCTCAAAAAGCTTGTAAGGACAATTTCTATAGAAAATGATGTTTTATGTTTTTCTGGTCAATCTTATCCTGGTGCATATTCTGATTCCACAAAATGAAATTTACGATGTTTCATTTCTCCTCTATGACATTTTGTAAAAACCTGTAATTTTAAAATCAGCAAATTGTGATGTAAATAAACTTTGCAGTGAAGGTTATAGAGATTGTGTCGTTTTCGAAAAAAAAACGTAATGAAATTCTCAATGTAAGGTGGTCATGTAATGTGTACAGAACGTGTAAAGGCTACATTATAAATTAGCTTTATTAATAAGCTACAATTAATTTTTCTCATAGGCTTTGTATTATTTTATTAAATTTATAGTAAGCGGCGAGATCTTCCAGTCCGGCGACTCCGGTCAAATGCCGGAGTTTTCTTGCTTTGAGGCCGGAACTGCTTACCATAGAACTATACGAAGCAAAGAAGAGTGTGGTAAGTGGAAATATAAAATAGAACGGCCTTCAAAAAAATCGAAATCTCGTGGGCACTGCAAAAGCATGACTGGAAAAAAGAAGCAATGTCGCCGAATTTGGGATGGTGAGAGACGAATTTAAGGAATATAACTCGTGTCATCAAATATTCACTTTGCATTCATTTTTTTTTTTTCAAGTATTGTTTCTCTACATTTTGGAAACTAACTTTGTTAATAATTTGATCATTATTAACAAAGTTATGGGTGCTACTGCAATAAATTTGATTGCTTTGATCTAACTAATATCTGTTTTTCAAAGTAACTAAAGATCTATAATTTAGAAGCTTTAAAACAATATTTGGCAGAAATGCTATAAAAAAAGTTACACAGGGCATTACATCATTGTCTTAGGTGTGCAAAAAAAAAAAAAAATTAAACCGAAAACGTAATGCTCATAGAACAAAAATTACGCTTTTTGTCTCCCGAAAATGTTTAGCTTTTGTTCTTTTGGCTTTTGAAGTGTCGATATGTTTCTTTAAAATCTCCATGAATAAACAAAAAATCGAAATAAAAATACTTAGTTACATTAATTATGCTTGCTTATTATAGATATGTCTGAAAAATGTATGCAAGTTTTGTATACAATGCGTGAACTATACAATTATTATGAAATAGATCAATTAAATTCAAGATATTGAAAAAAACAGAGGTGACCATCCCTCCTCTCTTATGCTCCTCTCCCCCTAAATTTTATTATAAAAGGTAATTATTTATTAGTAGATAGATTATATTTCGTTTTCATATATTTTTATAATATGTTCATAAATTTTTTTGTTTGGTGGCTATCTCAGCACTGAAGAAGGATAGAAATTTCGGCCAAACTAAAATAAAAATATTTCAACTTTCCAATCATAGAAAATATATAATTTTTTCTATTCAGTGTATTTTCTAAAACATGCAATATTATAGTATATTTTAAGACCAATTTCAATTTATCAAATGATTCCACGAGCGATTTTTTCTCGAAAGCCTTTAGACCGAGAGCTTATGCAGTAAAGTTGACATTATCCGACTAAAGTTTTGAAAGCTGGCTACCAACCGAAAATCTTTTAATATCCAGACCTATGAATAAACGGTGATCCGAAGCGAAAAATGTACTTCAAGGAATTAAAGAGCAATAAATTGTGCGTCGACGAAAGACTATCTAAACTTAATAATTTAAAGTTTCAGTTATTATAAGTAGGGTAATGAACAATTTTTGACAAATTCCATCCTTGTTTTTTTAATGTTAGGGTCAATCCCTCATTTTACTAGACTATAAGCACAATTCCTGAAGCAGATTTAAATCGGATGAGGTTAAATTAAAAAAAAAAAATAGATGATCAATCATAAGTCTTTGAAAAAGTGATTTTTAAATATATCTAACATAATAAATAATTCACTTTTAATAATTAAGAACTAGTAATATAAACAACAACCAATCGTCTTAATAGCACTGGCTGTTTATCCACTTCAGATGTTACGATGAAAGCCCTATTAAATCCCTGTTCGTCATCCA